AATTTGTTTTTGTGGGATTTATTTGTTGGCTTTCTTTTGCACTTTGTCTCTGTTTTTTGTCTCAGTTTCCCCGAAGCTGTGCACCCAGCGTGTGGCTAACTCTGTGCTAGCTGAGCTCCGCTTTTCTCCTCCCCTTCCTTAAGTCTCCTCTCCCACACGGCTTGCTTGCCTTGGAATTTTTCTTTTAAATGTCTATAAAATTGTCTCTGAGCTTCCATTTCAGTCCATTCTTGAAATCATTTATTACTGAGACTAAGAACACCAAGAAAGGTTAGGGATATCCCCAGTATCAGACAGCAAACCAGAAAAGCTGCCCCCGCCCCCAAACTGTCCACAACAATCACAGCATGGTGAATGTGAACCACTTCCCAAAGAGGAATATCTACCACCAGTTTATAAGAATTTTTTCTGAAATTTGTTTTCCGTACAGCGAGGAATGGATGGGATGAGAATGAGACTTCTCCCAAGGGTAGGCACCCATGGGTTTCCTTCTGTGTTGCATTGCTGATTGTGGTGCCAGACACAGAAGGAGGTCAACAATCCCCTCTCGAAATGACAACATATTAGCCCCTAAGATAGCAGGGGTCAGGTCAGCCATCTCTCCAGCAGAACCGGACTTTGTGTGTGAATTCCGTCACGAAACCTTTAGGTGCCTCAGGGAAAACCCAGACTGATGGGTCCCTTTGGCTACTCATCTGGGGGATCCTATGCAGACCCACCCTTCTTAGCTGGATGAGGACAAGAATATGCAGACTAGCCTGTCAAAACTAACCCGCACCAAGCAGAGGACTCGGTCATCCCCCTTTGCAGCTTCTTCTCCTCTTTCTCCCTGCACTGACACTGACAGGCAGCCCTGACCTCGACAAGCATCAGCAGGGGCCAAACTCCGATCATCAGCGACTCCTGCACTGTTCAGAAGAGTTGTCCTGGCCACACTGCCGTCTGCTTCCAGAAAAATCTCTTGACTTGAATCGATTTCTGGCCCATCAGAGAAAGTGCACAGACCCACCTCCACTAATCCCAGAATGGATTATTCTTATCACTCCACTGCAATTGTGGAACAGACAGCACTAATCTGATCTGGTCTGTTTAGGAGTAATACCGAAATAGAAACACGGAGGAGCAAGGTCCAGATAAAATGGAGCGCTTCACCAATGTGCCCCAGGAATCAAGTGATAACAGTTGGGGATTCCCCTTGAACCCTGAAGGGGATCTGTCATCAACAGACTCCTGAGCAAAGCAAATGTCTCCTTCCAAGGGACAGCCTGGCCCTGAGCACTCCTGAGAAAGAGGCTCGTCAGGTTTTTAATGACACAGACATTAGCCTTCGAAAATTGCAAGCCTGTTTTTTGTTCCCCCTCCGCACAAATGCACCCTTGCCATCTAAGGAGCAATAAACTGCAAGTCACAAACACCAGCCTGGGTCAGGTCGCCACTGCTTGCCTCCCCGGTAAAGCTCCCTACAAGACAGGAAGCTCAAGTCTTCACTCAACTCTGGAGGGCACTGCTCTTTTAAGGAGTGTGCATGTTTATTACTCTCCCACAGAGACAACACAGGTAAGATGCATTCCCCATCATTTTTATGTAAAAGAGGTCCAATATTGAGAAAGTCGGAGAAGATGCAAATTTAGGCCAAAGGGCATTTACAGTATTCTGATCACTGAAAATTTTCCCATCATGGGGCATTTTGGTGGGGAGAGAAGTCCCATAGTCCTGACTCACACAGTACATGGCCCCATACCACAGACATGTCATACAGATGCTGGTTAGCAATATACATTTCTGGGCCCACTTTACGGTGTTCTTATTCAATTAGTGCAGGCAAGATGTAGGAATCAAAAATTGTGGAAGATATCCCAGGCAATTAAAAATATTTTATTTAATTTGTTTTGGGGGGGACAGCTTGAGGAGGTTGTCTCTCTTCTTCCACCATGTGAGCTCCAAGGATCACACTCAGGGCTTCATTCTCAGGGGCCGGTGCCTTGATCGGACGGGCCATCCCACTGGCTCGTCCAATTTTTGTTTTATTTTATGAGAATGGATCTCACCTAGCTCAGGCTGGCCTCCAACTCACTATGTAACCCAGGATGACCTTGCAGTCCTCTTCCGTCTGCCTGGACCTCCAGATGTGGGGATGACGAGCGTGCACCGCCATGTCAGGCTCTCCTCCGAAATGTTAACCACCAAGCTGGGGCAGTAACTGATTCCCTCTTTAGTCTCTGATAACTCCCTGTTGCTAGTATTTGCCTCTTCAGTGTTTAGCCACTCACCCTTCAAAGGTGTTGTAGGAAGACTGTTAAGATTTTATAGGAAGGCTGCTATGGCGACATCTTGGTGATATGACCCGGGTTAAACAGTAGTTCTTCCTGAATCTGTGGAGGTGTAGGCTCAGAACCAGAAGATATTTTGCCATGTATCTGCTACTTATTTTTAAATAATATCTTCCTTGAGAACTGGAGAGGTGGTCAAGAGTGCTTTCTGCTCCTCCAGAGGACCCAGGTTCAGTTCCCAGAACCCACATCAAATGGCTCACAAACAACTGTAGCTCCTCCTCCAGAGGACCCAACACCCTCTGGCCACTGCAGGCACCTGTACGCACAAGTACACAGAAACCTATGGAGATATACAGATATTAAATAATTTTTTGAAAATATCCTTATTGAACCAAGTAAATAAACAGCAGCTAGTGCCACTAATCTTTAACCATTTGTTTTAAAGTAATACCTGGAACGAAACATAAAAGTATTTGATACGATTAAATAACTTTCCCACTAACATTCAGTTCTTCTCCTATCTCATTCTGTCTTGTATTTTTATCCAAACACAAAATCCAAAACGTTCTCAGCAATTTAACTTCAACTTCCAGGAGGCTCTGTCTCAAAAGCCTGCTACCAACCCCAACTGTACGCTGTGCCTTGTTTTAATCAGGGACAATTCTACCAAAGGTTTAGATTCTCTGAGCTCAAGAAAAGATATACTACTTTCCTCTATGCAATAGCAGAATGGAAAATTCTGAGAGGCGCCAGTCCTGGGATGTGGGAGAGGGGGGATAAAGGACTGTGGCAGGTGTGTGGATCTGTGCAGCCAAGTGTCACGGGAGCAAGTAGAGGAATGGCCTTCGTCAGAGACGAGAAAAGCAGAAGGTAAAGCGACTTCAAAAGCTCCAGGAAACAATGCTGCAACTATCAGGGATAAGAACCCACAGTCTGGCACGCACTAAGGAAGAGAATATTGTGAGGGACAGGAAGACGCAGGAAACTTGCCCTGGGGACTTAGCACTGAGCCAGCTCTAAGCATCGCATCCATTGATCCATGTCTTAAGTGAAGGGTCCCTCACACTGAGTCTGTTCTAAGCGAGGATGAGGGAGAACACAGAGAACTCAGCTGAAGGGTCCAAGCAGACCTAGCAGCACTGGGCAGTGTTGTGAACTGTCATTGCCGGCCTGTCAAATTAATTCAGGTTCAAAACATCCCTGGTTCTAATAGCATACAATTCTCTACCACTGGCCCATGTGTGTCTGCCACAGCCCACCTTCACTTTCTCAGAAAATTAACCTAGCATCGTAACTGAGGGTAAAATGGAACACACACACACGCAGAGGAATGAGTTGGAAGCCTGGATTTTTGTCTTTATCTTACTTTAACTGTGTAGCTGTGGGTGAGTCATTTTATATTCTGTCTCCTAGGAGATGAGGCAATCGGAGAAGAAGTATGAGATGGTCCTGAAACTAACTCTTTAATCTCAAAATCAGAGGCCCACCATAGTAGAAATGTTATTGAAAAATAAATATATATGGAAAGGAGGGGCAGACAGGCAGACGGAGATTTGATTTCCATATGTGAGAACATACAGGATGCCTGTACATGACCTAATGGTTTCGTAAATATTTTCAAGGTCATTACATCAATGTGAAGTGACCCTGATCTTCGAAACTATTGGTAGGGATCAAGGAAAAGCCTACAAGTATGCCGGTCAACAGACGCAGGGGGCAGTCTCACATGGATGCTCAAAGTGGAGACTGAGCAAGTTTTCCCTAGGGAAAGCCTGTGTTCTGCCGTCATAGGAAAGGAACCAAAGGGAACCGTATGTCTGGTGTGAGCTTTGGTGTCTGTGCATTTGGGATCTGGGGAGGTGGGGGAGGGACAGCAATACTGAGCACCAGGAGAGAAGAATCCCAGATGCTTGAGGAGTCCCTAAGTCCCCTAAGTCCCTTCCATCATCACGTCCCCCAGAGGGACATCTCCAGCCCTCCAGCCAGTTACGTGCTTCTCTGCATTCTCAGCCAGATGTAAGCTGGCCAAGAGGGTGGCCATCTGGACTCAGAGAGCCCATTAGCGCCGTAACCGGCAAGCAAAGTCTGATTATAAACACGAGCCTCTCTCGAGCCAGCTGTCTCACGCTTTGAAATTACGCACTTGGGAAGCATCTGGTTAGGGACAGAAGACTCCTCTCCCATGGGCTTCAGAGAGGAGGAGGCTGGGAGTAGGTGGCCCAGGCAGCACATGGTTTCTGGCAGGAGCCTAGCAGGCTCTTTTCAACTCCCACCCTACTCTTTAATCTTAGCTTGCCTACCTGTAAGCAGTGTGTGCCTGCACGTACACAACTTGGGAGTTATTTTTTCAGGAACACTGCAGACAAAGAAGCTTTATTTAACATAGGAGTAGGTGAGAGACTTGAGAACACCGAGGACTGTCAAGTGAAAAGCCGTTTAGACTGACAGCAGTCACATCCGTAGGCAGCCCAGGCCTTAGATGTAGAGGTAGGGGGAGGCTGTCAGTTGCACTTGGGCTGGATTGTGGGTGGGCACACATGCCTGTGTCCCCCGCTTCTGTAGATGGTCAAAATACAACAGGAAAGAGGCTGAAAGTCACACATGAATGGGAATACTGAAGAAATCCCCCCACCTTGCTGTTCCATAGGAAAGCCACAATGAGGCTCTTCCTTAACAACCATCCAGAATCTTCCTCTGTCTTCAGTCACAATCCTGCCCATGCATGACTCCTAATTAAAGGAGCACGCTGTTAATCAGTTATTATAGGCATCACCCCCTTCCCTGATCTTTAAGCTGTTGGCAGACCGAGATTGAAGACTGTTGATTCTTGCCACCTCCCATACAAAGCAGGTATTATCAAGCAGATATTTGAAATTGTAGTGAAACTAATTGATTGGTACACCTCAGCTGATCAAACTTTTCCTTTAATGGGTGGTAGCTGTGCATAAGGCATATTACTAATAGCTTTGTATTGTGAAGTTGTTTTTTGAGATTTAAGCTCCAATTCAACGTCTTGGCTCTTAAGACTACCTCTGAGATCCGTGAAGGACAACTGCTAAGCTAAACAAGATACTCAGGACCTAAGGAAAGAAAGTGAACTAAGTGGAGAAATAAGGGTGGTGACATGGTGGTCCTGCGTAGAGTTTGAGAGGGGGAAGAGGCAGTTGTCAGCATGGAGGCCAGTAGCTAAAAGAAAGGGGCTACTGGGTCACCTCAGCCTTTGGGAAGGTAGACTTATGTCCAAAAGGGGGGGAGGTACCATGCCCCTCAGAAGTGTAAAACCTAGGGTGCTCCTCAAAATGAGACACAGGATTAACACAATTCAGTGACGTGGGATGCAAGGTTGCTGGGTGAACACCCTATTTCCAGCAGCAGAAACTGACCAAGCCTCAGATGATAGAGCTGACGGCACAGGTGACAATCACCTGGAGGGAGGGAGGGGACCATTGCCATGGAGGCTGTGCACCATCCCCACGGAGGCTGTGCTGGGAGGTGACATAAACAGAAAACAAAAAGGATGGCTACGTGGTGAAGTGGGGATGGCATCGTCATAGACGCCGGGAAGAGAAGGACATCTCAGTTCTCACTGACAGGCACCCCCTCCACTGAGGGGGAACCCAGAGGCAGGGAGGAAAGCAAGCTTTAGGAAGAAGGGGTGAGGCTGACATAAGGGAAGTGGCAGGGAATATAAAGTCCTCAGCTGTGGTGAGCACCTCAGGCCTCCAGCTGAGGTAAATGCTAAAACCAAGATTGTTTGTTTGTCTGTTTGTTTGTGGGAGGTATTTTGGACATTTGGGGTATTTTTTAAAGGTCTCATTTTTATTTTATGAGCTTTGCTCAGAATGCCTTCTGGGATTCAGAAGGAAGAATTGGCATGAACTTTTAGGCAGGAGTCTCTAGAAACAGAATTGGTTTTCATCGCCACCAAAAGGCAGTCTTTCTTTTATTTTCTCCTACGAAGAAAGGAGATCAGCTCTCAGCACACCAGCCTGTGTTGTACCAAGTGTGAGGGCACATGCATATAATTCCAGCAGTTGAGAGGCTGACGCAGGACTATTGCAAGTTCCGGGACAGTCCGGGCTGCAAGTCCTTGTCTCAAAAACCAGTCAATATTATGAAAAGGACAGGAGTTTGAAATCTTCGTGACATGAAAACATTAAGCTTCCATACAAGTGACCTAAAAGCGTGGAAACCTAATTTTGTAAAACAGTATTTTACACTTTCAGAAGAAATAACTCATAAATAGTCACTTGTTAGGTCTCTTTTCTGTTCTAACTCCTTGTCCTGGGCTCTGGTTCAGTAGTTTCTGAAACGCCCAGTTTCCACTCACTGAGTGGAGTAAGTGGTTTTGGAGCGCCATCCGGTGTCAGAATCAGTAACTACAACAGACCGTCATAAGGCAGAAAACCAACCGAAATTTTAGCTATGGTGTGCTATAAGACATGTGGTTACTTCTGTAGCCCATGCACCTGAATTCCAACGCAAGTTCAAAGTTCAATAGTTCTGAATTGATTGATTTCAACAAACTATTGAGAAGCTCGAGAGAATCCTGGAGCTAGATCTCAGCAACGTTCTTACAGCAAATTAACGCTTAGTACAAGCGTCCTACAGGGTGTGGCTTTAAAAAAGAGAAACCCTTCGTTTTCTACCGACACTTCTCTTCACAGTTCTGCCAGCCTCTCTTGGGCTCCACCCTTCAAGGAACAGCTCAGCTTCAAGCAAATGTGTGCCGCATGTCGAGATCTCCGCTGTGCCTTTGGACCTAGGGTTGAAGGAGAGGAGCTGATGGCGGCTTTGAGCATAGGATGATCGTAACGGGAAATGTGCTGGGGTACACTAGAGTGGAGAAAGGCGACAGCAGACATTTTTATTTCGGTGCGCTCGTCCTCCTTATTAATTCACCTCCCTGTGCCCACGGAGACTCACGTAATTCTTCCTTAAAATGTTTAATCGCATGTGTAAATCAATACCCCTGACCTCATTGTGATAAAATACATTTTATTTCTGAACTTGAATTACAAATGGCGCCACCATTGACTGAGATACCACTGCTGCTACCAGAATACATAGCACTTAGGGTCAAGACATTTCTCTCTGGTTATCATCTTGTTACCATGTGATCTGTTTTGACCGCATTCCTTGTTCACAGAATCTTTGAAAGAAATAACTTTTTAAAAGAAAAGAGAATACTTCATCGTTCCACTTCCTGCCCCCCTTTTTTTGTTTGATTGTTTGTTTGTTGGGGGGGCTTGGGGTGTTGGTTCTTGTTTGGTTTAGTATGGTTTCTCAAGACAAGGTTTCTCTGGGTAGCCTTGGCTGTCCTAGAACAAGTTGGGTAGATCAGGCTGTCCTTGAACTTACAGAGATTTCCCTGCCTCTGCCTCCCGAGTGCTCCACTTCCTTGCAGTAAGAGCCATTTGTGTCTTTCTCAGCACTGTCTCGCTATCACAGTGCCTGTTTATGGAACCAACCTAGAAAGAACAATAGCAGCATATGGAGGAAACGTCTTGATCATGGCAGAGACCCTTCCTAAGTGGATGTCCAAGAGAAGGAATGGAATCTTGCCTTGGCTCTGGGACTTAAGCATGAACAGTTAGGGCCTGAAAAGATGGTTCAATGATTAAGAGCAATCGCTGCTCTTTTGGAGGACCCAAGTTCAATTCCCAACATCAACATCAGGCAGCTCCCAACCACCTAGACCACCAGCTCCAGGAAATCAAACATCCTCTGGCTATAACAGGTACCTGCACACATGTGCATATACTCATGTACAGACATATGTGCATACAGAAGATTTAAAATTAAAAATTTTATATTTTTAAAGAATGGACAGTTATAAAAAGAATTGATCATTCTTGACAAAACACTCAGATTTTCCAAACAACAATGTCTTCTGTAATCTAGATTTCCACTTCTTGTCTTAGTCCCTTCATACTGTGTTCACAGACCTAGTAGTCTGCACACAGCAAAATCTTATTTCTCGTAGTGCTGGGGATGGAGAAACCCAAGATTAAAGATTAGGCAGATTTGTTGTCTGAAAAAGACCCATTTTCTGCTCCACAAGAGCTGGCTCCTTATCTCCCTTGACAGGAGGGAGGAGAGCGCTCTCCGGATCTGCTACAGCAGAGCTCCACTCTCACTAGTGACGGTTCTGCCTTCGTGACTGTAAAGTGGACAAACCCAAGCTGAGCCCTTGTGTGCGCACATTCATTCCTTTCCTGAGGCGGACGCCCTGTGACTGACTAGCAGCTCTCTGCTCCCGTTGCTTTGACTTCCTTATTGGGAAGGACTGCACAGCGAACCGTGAGACAAAGCAAGCCCTTTCTCCCTTAAGTTGCTTTTGCTGCAGTATGTTATTACAGCAACAGGGGGAAAACTTGTTCAGAAATAAGGTGCAAGTGATCTAATCGAGACGACTGCATACATAAGGCAGTGGCTAATCCAGCAGAACTGGGGATTTTTTACAAGGCAAGAGGAGAAGGGTATGAAAAATTCCAAATAGGACTTGGAATTGTGCTCACCTGAGCCTGCCTCTAGACCTAGAAGAGACAGGAGTAAGTCTCTTGAAAGCCTGCAGGGGGCGCGTGGCCGCCACAGCACCTGGGTTTCAACCTCTGCCTCCTCCACTAAGAGAAAAATAAACAAAGCAAAATAAAAACCGTTGCTACTGTTTCAAACCAGTCAGTTAAGATAACTTGTTACAGCAGCCACAGAAAATTCATGCCGTTTCTGCTCGGCACCCAGAGCAGCTGGAAGAGGTGGATCCTTAGCTATTTGTACCCGCGGTGGGTATTACAGGACTGTGTCTCTATGGAGATGCTGACTTACCGAAAGTTACTCATTAAACTCATGAAGAGATTAGGAGTTTGTTAGTTTAATAAATGGGTGTACTTTGTCTCCGATAAGGGCGGCCCCTGCTGTTATCTGATCGCTATATGACTGCAGGTCGAAATTTGTTACCAGACACAGGAGGCCTGCTTGGCGGCTTTCCTGGCAGAACCGTTCCCAAAAGGGAAACAGGTAACCCTAATCCTGGCTGTCCTGGCTGTACCCTCTCAGGACAAAGCACCTGATTTCCCAAACCCAGCAAAGTCCCCGTGCTGTGCATTAAGGCCACCAGGAGAGAAACTGGGCTGTGAACCCAGAACTAGCAAATTGGAGGGGGGGAGGGGGGAGAGATGTTGGGAAATGAACCAACCCGCCGTCAATGTAATCTGATTCACAGTGAGACTGAGCATCAGAACAGCCAAGGCTACCCTAGTTTGAAACACTCGCTGGATATTTGGCATTATTTTCAAAGCGTGCTTCTCTTTCCAGTTTCATTCAAGAACTAGTGGGCACGTTTTTTAGCATTTAATAGGATAGTCAAACGCTGTTGCATACGTTTCCAGGTGAGTCTATTTAAGTTGCTTTTTTTCTTCTAATTAATACTTCACTCAGCAAACATTTATTGAACACTTATCGTGAATGAGGCACTCTGCTCCATGAAGAAATATAAATAAATCTCTGCCTGAAGAGAGCTGGCACAACAGCGGAATGAGTGGATGAATAGCTGAAGGTACTGGATTTTTTTTTTTTACTATAGTGTAACATGGTTGTTGTTGAAAGACTTAGTGTGCTATTAATACCAAATGTGTTCTGTGCTTCAAACGTGTGAATGCAGCACAAAGAGACTATGGCTAATTTTCTCTGGAAAACGAGGCCACCTGTCTGTCCCCTAGAGACACTCCCTCCCTCTACCAGGCACAAAAAGCCAGCATAGGTAGGATGGCCAAGAGAAGAAAATGACTTAGCATGTGCCAAGATCAAGAGTGTTGGGGTTCATGTGGCCTTAAGAGATGCAAACATTTCAAGGGGGAATGAGACAGAGGTTATATCCTAAAATGTGTCATTCTCTGTCTTTTTTTTCCAAACTGGTATTTACAGTCAGATGGGGCTTTTTTTAAAATTTTATTTACAAGAATATTTATGTGAGAGCATATTTGCCTCATTTCAAATCTAATCTTTAGAAGTAGTATAGCCTGAACATTTGGATAACCACATTATGTGCTAATAGTGCCACTTAATTTTAGACTTTGCACTTTTAAGAGTGTTTGTGATAAACAGTACTTAGTTAGCTATAGTCTATTACACATTAAAGTGATGAGCAATGAATCTTAGCCATCTAATTGTATATATACATATTAGTCTGTGCGGCAGAAAATTTTGGTTGTCTCCTAATACAAACTCCCTCCTTCTCTAAAGTAGTGAAAACTCCAAATATTTAAATAGATATATGGTTGTCTGTCCATAAAATAAAAACATACATTAGCCAGACTCCCTTGCAGCTAGATGTGACCATGTGACTATAAACTGGATACAAGTATCTTGGGCAGCTTCTGAGAGCTTGTCTTTAAAGGCGTGTGTGTGTGTGTGTGTGTGTGTGTGTGTGTGTGTGTTTAGCCTTCAAGTGTCCCATATCTTCACTCATTCCTAGACTCCCAACTGATTTTGCAGTTACTGTTACAGGTGAATTAATATTTTCCATCATGATTCTGGGAGTACATATTTTTTCTTATAGTTGTTTCAACTTTCATTTCCATATTTGGAGGAAAACAATATCAAAATATTCTGAATTACCTCAGTAGTCATCACTTAACTGAAAGAAAAATCTTACCCGATCTCACTGCTTCCATTTGAATTTACAGCCACAGCTATTTTGTTTCCCATGATGCGGCTTTGCGTTTTCAGTTCCAGCCGGAAGCTGTTGACTGCTCAGCAAAGCAATCAGTTATTTGTGTGGATAAGTACGGAAGCAGCTGGACTCAAGCGCCATCTTATCTTGTACTTTGTCGGCCGTGTCAGCTTCATGGCTTTGGGATGTGTTTTGATTCTTTTTCCCCAGTAACTTTCCTTGTATTAATCTCCTTAGTTGTCACCCAAGAATGATAGTGTGAATCTTAGCTTATGAAAGTAAAGTGTTGGTGACCGTATGGCTGTCCTTCGGCTCCTTTTGAACAGTAAGCATGAAAGCTGGAAACTTACCTCATCTGCTTTGGAAACCCCCATGAATTATGACTGTGCATTGGACATTTCGTTTTCCAAGTCCCAACTTTACTCATCCAGCCTTCGTTCACGGATTTTCACACGCACGTCGCTTTCCTTGCCCATCATCCCTCTACACCCAGCCTTACACCTGGAAACTTTCCTTTCTGTGCCTCAAGCACATCACCTGGAGAAACTGATTTAGCAAAGACTTGATCCTTTTTTTTTTGTCTGAAATTATTCTTGCTACCCCATGCATAGAATTTTAGGTTGATACTTGGAGTTATGGTTTGTTTTATTTTCAGAACATTGAAGATATTGTGTTTCCCAACTCACATTGTTGCTATGGAAAGGTCAGCTAACAGACTGTAACCCCTTAGAGCATTAAAATTGCCTCTCTGTATCTGTCTAACATTTTCAAACATAGGAAACTCAAACCATCCCCAAAATTAGAATCACCCAGTGTATGCATTTATTTGTGCCCAGATTCCAGCTTCAACAATTACCAGTGTTTTCAGCTTTAGTGCCGTCCATTTCTGTACACAGTCACTTGGACACTTGCTTTAGGACTTTGTATGCATATTTTAGAGTACACACAAAATGTTGCGCCGTTTAATGTGTAGAGCCAACTGTGAAGAACCATATTGGCCTAACCTCTGTGCCGAGAGGTCTTAATACCCTCACAGGCATTAAACTCCTTTGTCACCAATGTGTTAATGTTAGAAGGTGAAGCCTTCAAAGCTGATTACATCATGACAGGTGACGTAATCAGTGCGATGGGTGACCTCAGGAGAAAGGCCCTAGTGAACTGCCTTGTTCTTCTCGTCATATGGGGACATCGTGTGGCCATCTAAGAACCAGGACTCTAAATCTGCCAATACCTTGAGTCTTAGGTTCCCAGGTATCCTTAAAACACACACATACACACACACACACACACACACACACACACACACGGGGGGGGTAGGGGTAGGTAATATCTTTTGTTCATAAACTTTTCAATTTATGACACTGTGCCAAAGCAATTTGAACAGAGGAAACCACACGCCATTATCACACCAAGTACGGTTAACAAGAGTACTTTCATGTTTTTATATCCATTTTCTGTTCACATCTCACACATGTCCCAAAGGGGCTTTTCACAGTTGGTTTATGGGAATCTAGATCCAAGCAAGTCACATACTGTTTTGGTTGTTAATATAAGCAGCTTCTATACTGTTTTTTAAAAGGTTTTTAGTATGTAGTTATTGATTTTTCAGCAAAATTGGGTGGTTTTCTTGGATGTCTATGTATTTTAATAGGATTTCTGATATTGCTTATTAATTTCTTCGTAAGTCTCTGGATGGCAGTCAGAACCCAAGATTAGAATAAATTCAAGTACATGTCTCAACCCTCCCCTTAGGGATGCTGCAGTTAGTCAGAGGGCTCAGGTGTGTTGGCTGATTCCTTACTATGAATCCTTCCCTGAACCTTTCAACTAAGGTTGGGCAGGAGCTGTTGCCTGGATCCATTACTTCCAGAAGGCTTCCCACTTACATGATTTTATTTCTTCTGCATCTGTGAACTACAGATTCAAAAATCTTTTCCTCACCAACACTTTAACTTGGAAATACACTTCATGAAGGAAAACATGTGGGATGCTTGATTCTCTCCTTTTGTTTTATGGACAGTAAACTGTTGCCTAAATGGCCTGAAAGTAGCCAGCCTGTGGTGTCCACACGTTGGGCACCATTTGTTGACAGAGGTTTCTGTTCCACCAGGTCCCGCAGTCGTTCAGTCCCAAAGAAATACACAGAGATCTACATTATAAACTGATTGGCCTATTAACTCAAGCTTTCTTATTAATTAATTGTTACATCTCAACCCATAATTCTTGTCTGTGTTAGCCACGTGGCTTGGTACCTTCCATCAGCGAGGCCTTCTCATCTGCATCCTCTACATCTGGGTGATGACTACAGACTGAGCTTTCCTCTTTCCAAAATTTTCCTGTTCTCAACACTCCACCTCTACTTCCTGCCTGGCTACTGGCCAATTAGTGTTTTGTTAAAAATAATACAAGTGACAGAATAAATGACGATTGTCCCCACGCAACTGTGTACGGGCATTTAGTTCTGCGCTGATACTCCGTCAGTCCTAGCCACCACCACAGCCTGCTGAGCCTCCATTCTCTCCAGCTCAGAGCGGGCTGGACTCTGTTTTGCTTCTGTTTCCCTGTGTTATTTCTTATCTCACAGGAACCACACTGGCATCACCTCTTTCCCGACGTCTGAAAATGGTTTCTTCATACATTTGTTTAGCCCCGTACTTACCAGAAACAACAGTTCTTCCTGTCCAAGCTGAAGCTCCCTGAATCTTTGTTGAAATTGTGGGGTTTAATTTAATAATCAAATTTACTAAGATGTAATTTGCAAACAAATATATATATATATATATATTATATATATATATATATATATATATATATATATATATATATATGAGACAAGATTTCTCTGTAGCTTTGGAGCCTGTCCTAGAACTAGCTCTTATAGATCAGGTTGGCCACCAACTCACAGAGATCTGCTTGCCTCTGCCTTTGAGTGCTGGGATTAAAGGCATGCACCACCACCGCCCAGCTCATTATATACATAAATATGCCAGAGTTTACGCATATAGGTCGTTGGCTTGGACAAATGTATGCAACACACAATCGCTGCCTCCTTTTGCCCAGAATCCCCCTCTTCCCTTTCGGCAGTCTTCGTCTGCACCTCTCTATCCAGGAAGCCACTGAACCAGTTTCTGTTGCTGCAAGTTAATTGTGCCTGTGACAGTATTTAGAGTATTTCACCTCTCTGTCCAGGAAGCCACTAAGCTGATCTCCGTTGCTATGGATTATTTGTGCCTGCTGTAATAGTTTGAATAATTGGAGCCAGTTTCCCTTTTGTACCTAGCTCCTTTCATCAGCATGGTGTCTGAGGGATCCATCCATGGGTTCATGTAGCTCGTTTTCTTTATTACTAAGCAGTATCCCGTTGTGTGGATAAATCAGTTTGTTTCTGAATTCGCTGACTCATTGGCCTTTCAGCTTGTTACCAGATGGGGCCTGCCATGGACAAGGCTGCCATGAGCATCTTATACATATCTCTTGGTGCACTTACCCTTTCTCTTGGTTAAATCTCTAGAAACGCAATTCCTAAATCTTGTCTATGTGTTAAATTTGACAAGAAGCTGCCATGCTGGTTTCCAAAATGGTTATATAATTTATATTTAAAGAGTCAATCCGTGACAGTTTCAGTTGGCCATGTCCCCCCAGCACCTTTGTCTGCGAAGCCATCCTTTCTGTCTGTGTTAGGCTGGCAGTTGAGATGGGGCATCTCTCTCTGTGGGTTTGATCTGGGATTCCCAAAAGCTCACTACACCGAGCATACATATCCATTTTCTCGTCTCCCCTTGCGTACTCCTTTAGATTGTTTGCTCTTGTCCTTTGTCCATTGACGTCGTCATGCGCTGTTTGGCCGTTGCACACACAGGCTCCTTGTAAGGTAAAGAGGCTGTTGGAGCATCCTCCCGAGCTCTGACATACTGTCCCTCTTCTCCGGCAGTGCGCCTTGAAGAAAAGGAGATTTACTATCGTTTGATACAGTTTATAAACTTTTCCTTTTATCTGTTTCTGTCTACTTTCAATTCTTTGCCTAAACCTATGCTTACAGAGACATTTTTTATTTTCTTCCTTGTAGAGATTTTGTAATTTTAGCCCTTAAATGAAGACATAAAGTCCCTCTTCTTCACTTTTTCATTTGGTGAAGCACAAGGATTGAGGTGAATTCTTCAACATGGGTACCGATTTCTCCAGCACATCCTGCAGGGAGCACAGCTTTCCCGTCATTGCTGATGTTTCTGTCAAAAGCAAACAGACTAGATGTGCAAGTCTTTTCTGAAATCTTTTCTGGTTTGTGGTCTTGCATGTTTATTTTTATGCTGGCACAGTACAATCTTGCTGTAGCTTTAGAGTAGGTCTGGAAGTCACACAATGTTAGTTGTCTTCTTTGTGCTCCCATTTAAAAGTTATTTTGACCATCGTCAACCCTTTGCATGGCCATTTGGAATTTACAGTTAGCTTTTCAGTATTTACCAGGAAAAAACTAAAAGTCTGCTAAGATCTTGATGGTGGTTGACTCTGTAGATTATCATGAGAAGAGCAGACAGCCTAAGATTCTCCACATGATAGAGTTTTCCATGCTCTGCGATCACTGAGTCTTTCTCTGTGGGTGGTAGCCAAGGCATGATCCTGGAATGATAATTTCACATCTGCTGCTGTTATGCCCAAATCCGTGAAGTCCTCCAAAAGCCAACAAGGAGACCGAATACTGTATGTAAAAGCAAAGAGCCTTTATTTTATGCAAGTTTACAAACTTGATCTCTCTGCACGTCCAACGTATTGGAATAAATGGAGAGCCCTGAGCTCAGTTAGAGCTGGGTCTTTATAGTAGTAAAGGTGGGGGTGAGGGGTTCTGAGGTTCAGGGCCCCTGATTGGCTGACATTTGTCTAGGCGTGTCCTGGTGCGTGTGTGCTGACAGGTGATCCTATCTACAATGGTTGGAACATTAGGCATTTCCTTTGGATGATCTGTTCTTGGGTGGTGATCAGGTAATCTTGTTTATGGTCCTTCCTGCAACCAGGTATTGCTTCAGGGTAAACTACTGAGACTCAGGCTTCCATTAAATTTATCGATGCCCGAGTCCTACTCTGGCAGGTGATAATGGTTGGAAGTAAAGAACTTCCTTTGGGTAATCTGTTCATATTTAGCTTAGCATGGCTGGCTCCTACAGCCACCACCATTTTCCTTGATTCTTTTTTATTTCTTCTCCCTGATGAGGCTGGACAAAGTCTTCATGCTTCTGGCCACTCTGTGTATAAGAAGTTTCAGCTCACTTTAAAGCTTCAGTCTTACATGCAGGTGAGACCTTTCCTCCCTGCGCTCCAAGGATGTGGAGGAAGAGGAAGAAGGGTGATGTCTTGTCATTCTCCTCCTCCCATTGTTGGAGTAGAGTGGGGAACACTGTGTACGCACGTGCGTGTATGTGTGTGTGTGTGTGTGTGTGTGTGTGTGTACATGTTCATGTGCATGTACACCGAGGCCAGAGAAAGGCATTAAGTGCCTTCCTCAGCAACTTTTTGCCTTGTTTTTTTGAGACAGAATCTCTCACAGAACCTATAATTCATTAATTCAGCGAGGCTAGATGGTCAGTGAGCTCTGGAGATCTCTCTGGCCCCTCCTCTTCCGGTGGTTTGGTTACAGGAATGCATCACTATGCCAGGCCTTTTAACATGGGTATTGCTGGTCCAGACTGATGACCTCAGGCTTGTGTGGCAAACACTGAGCCATCTCCCAGCCCCAAGGCATTCTTTGTTTTGCCTCCATTCCTTTCCTCGTCTTTCTAACTGAGCCAGCAGGGCTTGTTTCTCGCTGTTGCTGTTGCCCGGGGTTGCCTCTGTTTTAAGATGTGCGGCTTTCTCGAGGAAGCTCATCTTCACCCAGATCCCCTCAGGCCCGGCTCATGCTTCCAGCTCCTCTCTGTTGAAGCATTTCTCCTCCCACAGACAGCAACGCCATGGGTACAGCACAGTTTCTGCTCCCGCATTTGGAGTCTGTGCCTCCAAGGCGCTCTCATGGGGACCAGAGGATCACGAAGCACACGACACTAAGGGCCCTTCATAGCGTTAGTTCCGCAAGCTTCTCTCCATCAGCACTTTCTTAAGAAGACACACAAATTGTGTGAGATGCCACAATGTCTTCAGCTCTGGGTGGGGGGCGGGGGGAACAAAAGTATGGCGTGATGGTTGTTCTGTTACGTGTACTTTTTAATCAGCTTTCCTGATGGGGAAGTGGAGTGCCAGTCTACCCTTATGGGGCACCCCACTTTCTATCCTAATTGTCTGGGAAACTGCACCCTATTTGTTTAAATCCTGGAGATGAAGAATGTGCACCATGAGAAAGCTCTGAGAAGCCATCATTCCTCAGAGCCTGAGAACCGGTCCTCCCTCTCTCGTCTCCTCAGTAATCTCTTTATAATAGTTTATTTGCAGGGTGGTGACTGTGGTCATAGGGGCTGCTTAGCCACCTTTCAGAAACCCTGAGGGGATTACTGGGCCCCCATGTTGGTGGCTGTCTTTAGACTGTGGAATATTGCTGCCTCATATTTCCAGAAGGATCCCCAAGAAAGCAACGGTAGCCCCACCCAGTATCTTTTTCTATAACCAATAGTTCAACTCTGCTCTCTGCCGCAGCGATCCAAACATGAAGACAAAAGCTCATTTCAAAAAGAAAAAAAAAAACGCTTCATCTAATGCTATATCCAAATCTAAATAAACTTCGAAATGCACTTAACAAAGCTAGAAGCCTGGAAACACTCGACATGGGGTGCAATAATGTAGAATAAGAATCAAATGCCTTTCTGTGTAAAATGGGCACAGGCATGAGTGAGAAGACAGGGTGCTTTCCTTCGGTTTCCAAGAAGCAGGAAAGAGGGTGGGAGATGGAAAGGGGTGTGGAAGAGAGGAGGAGAGAGGTGGAAAAGAAGAAAACAGTGACAAACAGTTAGGGACTCACTCTTTGCTTTCATTCTTGGCTCCCATGGACACCGTGAGGAACACTGCAGGCCTCTCTGGGGAGGGCTGGAAGTTGGCAAGCTTTCTTCAGTCTCAAAACACGTTAGAGATGTGGCCTCTTCAAGAGGGACTGACTGGTACCCAGCGCTTGAGGAGGCAGCATTCCTAACCCGGGGAGACAGGAAAAAGCAGAAAACCCTCAAGTGTAGTTAACGTTCTGCCAGCGGCCCTCTCCCAAGTTGCCTCCTCCTCTTGCACTGGCTCTTTTTCATGAAGAAAACAAGCGCAGTAAAAGAGACCTAACCTACCGCAGCCCAAGAAACGAAGATTTTCATGGTGAGAACCTGGGTTTGCAGGTAAGTGATGCTTATCTTGTTCTCTGGTGATGTGTTAGTCCGTACTTGAGAGTCTAAATCAATCTGACTTAACAGTAGTCTCTGAAGTTGAACTGTCCTGTTTCTGACCATGTCCCTTCTTTAATGCTAATCTTACTTTAATGAATTATTACCACTATGGCCTTGGCAGGAGCAGGAGCAACCGCTTGCTACTCTGTACACATTCTGTGAGGAAGCCCTGAGGTGAGTATTGGGAGAGACCCAAAGAAGAAAAAAAATGTGTCCCCTTCATGGGAATGTTCCTAGATTTAAGGAGGTGGAAATGTGGGTTTGGATATTGCAACTTCATCCGATGAGGCAGTTTGGAGTTCAATAAAATTCGGTTTCAAACTAATTGGTGGCCAGACACCAGAGACCAGCATCTTGGTTCTTTTAGGTTGGTTGTGAAAGACACGCGCTTCACTCTCTGCAACCACGAAGAGGATGGACAGAAACATGGCAAGGGGACCACTGTACAAGCAGTTTGACTCAGAGAGGAAGAATGCCAGGCGAGCTGAAGCTAGACTCAGCCTGAGCCTACAAAGACTAGAGGTCATCTGCCTCTACCATGTGAAGACGCTGGCCAGGGAGCAGAGGCAACTTCAGAAAGAACTGCAGCGGCTGCAGCAAGGTGAAGCCCATCCCAAGGGGCAATCTGCCCTCCACCCCCCACTTCTGGTCCTAATCTGCCCTGACTTCGAGGAGTAAGGAACAGTCTACCCTAGAGGGGCTTGGAGGGGGGCGCATAGCAGCCTCCATCTCACTGAGGGAAGAAGGAAAATGCCTCACATCAGGGTCCTTCAGGGTCCTGGATGACCAGTAGAACAAGTGCCTCACCTCCCATTTTTTTAAACAGGCCTCAACATCCTGGTCCTTCACCCTGTCCCAAAACTCCATAGTTCTTCCTGCTGCTTGGTCCCCAACCTTCTTGAGCTGACATTCCCCAGGTTTCCATCATTGTCCTGTTTCCAATTTGCACTCTCTCTCTCTCTCTCTCTCTCTCTCTCTCTCTCTCTCTCTCTCTCTCCCTCTCCCTCTCCTTCCCTTCCGTCCTTCCCCTTCCCTCCTCCTTGTTTGATTCTTCACACAGTGCTCTCTTCCCTCTCTCAAAGCTGATCTTGCTCCTTCATCATCTCTGCCTTTCTCCTTGGGATCTAGTGGCCATTTGTTGACCAGCAAAGGAAGGAAGGTATAAGCCACTTCCCTCACCCATGTTATAAAACGAAAGTTAAAAAGGAAACCAGAAACCCTTTCTCTGGGATTCCGACCTCTGGTGAGAAACAGAAGTGGCGATGCCCATCTTGTGAAGTTATCCAAGCTCTCAGTGAGAATTGGTCAAACCTAAGCACAAAGCATTCACTTAGGGTTTGACAACTTTTAATTCCTCAGATCAGCAGTGCAAAGTCATCTCAGAATGAAAGCTCTCCTGCTGCTTGCTGGAAACAGGTTCAGTTGTGTGCTTTGTAGAAACCATCGCTCCTCGTTTTCTTCTTCAAATAATTAGGTCTCAACAGTCCTTCAAAATGACATGGAGTCGGTAAACTCAGCTTCTCAGGACATCCTTTCTGATTTAAGCCAGGTGCCAGAACTAACTCAGGAGCCTGAACTGGATGTGGTCCGTCCAGAAGGAAAGCCAGATGCTTTTAAAGACACATTTAAATGCAGAACCTTCCAGGGCTGCACAGTTTCAACAACAGACACACAAACCCAAAGCAGTGTCCACACTGGCCTGGGAATTCTTTCTAATCTCCATCTATTTTTAATTACATAATGGTCTCTAGCTTCCTTGAACTTGAATGACGACCCTGTCTGAACCAAACTCTATTGTCAATTCCCCTGTTCACAGTAAGAGGTTAAGCTTACTTGGAATAAGAACATTGGAGAAGCATCTTAGAAACCAGTCTGTTGGTTATCACTCTAATTCTCAGAAAAGGGCAACTGAGAGTAGGTGCCCATCCTCCGGAGGGTTGCAGAAAGGCAACCCCACCCCCATCACTGCAGCCACCCCTGCTGCGTAGAGACCTTGTCTCAGTCTCAGTCACAGCTATGTGGAAAAGGTCAGGACCGAGAGACAGACAGCTCCAGAGGTCACAGTCTCCAGGTTCTGTATTTCACACTGAACGGTCAAGTCAGAGACAGGAGAAGGAGCGACTGGGTACCCTCTTGGTGCGCTCCAGACGCTGTATTCAGCAAGGGTTTCAGTGATTTACTTAATGGAACTGTTACCACTGAGATGCAACTATTGCCTGTTAGTGTATTGCTTTGTGTGCGTATTGTCAGCCTTCACCTTAGACACCTGGATCAATGCCTAGAAATTAGGCTCAAACTTCAGCGTTCTTCTCACTGATATTAAAATGAGTTATTCTGGATCATGTGCTTTTGCTTGATTGATTGAATAGTGGTTTGGCTGGCTGATTGGCTGTTTTGGTTTTGTTGTTATTGTCATTGTAGCTTTGTTGTGTTTTGTTTTGTTTTGTTTTGAAAAAGAGTTTCCTCCGAGCCTGGGATAGAAATTTGGGCAAATAAGGTCTTTACACTTTAAGGTGTTTATTTATATGGTCAGATAGCTGAGCTTTTGTAGGTCTGATTTTTAAAAAAAAACTGTGCTTTTATAAATCTCATAATGCTAACCATGAAGTTATTTGCCAAGTAAGGCGGTGGCACCGGAAGCCTCCTGCTCCTGTTAAGAAGGCTCTTAGGAGAATTTCCCCAAAGCAGCGGTGGGTGAACAGAGCATAGGAGAAGAGTGAAGTGATGTAGGGAGCCAGAGGTTGCGGAGAGACGTACAGAATGAGATCATTTCTGGAAGAAAGGAACAGTGTGTGCAAAGGGATGGGAGTAAACATGGTTTGCCAGAAAGTTCCGTGCTGGTGAAGTACACGTGTAGGTATAGAACTCACACTAAGCAAGCGTTGTCTCCAGTCAGTGCTTCACAAAGGTAGATCCCACCCTGCAGGGTCTGGATGCAGGGAGACTCCATGTTCACAATTTAGGGAGTTCACTCTGACTGTGGGTACCTAGGAGAAAATGGAGCTTAGGATACAGCCAGAGGATTGCAGATAGAATTCCAAATGGAGGCTCGATGTAAGACTTAAAGTAGAGCATTGTCAGGAGGAGATGGGGAGACCAGTGTTTCAAGACATTTGGAGAGAAGAATCCTCAGGGTTCCATGACTAATTATATGTCCAAACATAGAGGAAATGAGAACGTATTGCCAGGCTCAAGGTAGGCTGTCAAATATACAGCTGAACCGGATAACTAGGTGGACACAGCACCACACCATTGTGGTGAGGAAAACAGGGCACAATGATGTCACAGAGAAAAGATGCTCACCCTACTATCTCAAATGCAGAGGGAACTGCCTAGAGAAGTAGCTGAAACCCTTTAGCTTATTGGAAATAGGTAAAAACATAGAAAAACCCTCAAAATAAAACAAAGGACTCAAAGAAGTGATCAGATGTGTTTCATGTGATATTCATGCCTCTTACATGGCCCGGTACCTTATTCCCACTGCCTCGTACTTTCTAACTTCAGTAGGATGCTTCTCGGAGGGGAGTGGCCTGGGTCTGTTGACTGGCGGCTAGATGTGTGTTTGTTTGTTATCCTTGGTTGGTTTTCTGGTTTGGGTTTAGTGGGGAGGGGAGCAGATGGCCTACTGCTAGGGATTGAATCCAGGGCCTTGTGCAGGTGTAGCAAGCCATCTACCACTAAACAACACCCCTGGCCTTAACCTCTGTAGCTTTAAGTGATTCCCATCAGAACGGAAACCAATGCACGATTTAAATGTCTTGAAAACTAATAGGGGCAGTGTGGTCTCTTCAAGCTGTGACTACGAGAGACCGGAGCACCGACTGGGAAAATGGAAAGTCCACTTAATCATGGCCTCTGGCAGTTGCAAACCCTTGCCACAGGTAGAAGGAAGGCATACAACTGTAGTAAACAGACAAAATGTCCACACCCAGGTGTTTTCTTTTTTTAAACACTTGTCCTTGCCAAGTAAAACATTCAAACAAAACCCACCAGGGCTGGGGCGGTTGCCACATCTGATCCTGGTGTCTAAATCCTCTCTGACACGCTCTAGGCAAACAGCAGGAACTGCAGGAAGCTTTGCTGTTTGCGTCCATTGCATCAGAGGAGGGCAACGTGCGATGGGGGCCCAGGATTCTCACATGCTAGCTCTCCGAGAGCCCCGAACACAGCCTTCACTTTCCTCACCTATTAGACTCAGTTTCTAGGGCTGCACAACAAAGTCCCCAATCCTGCACAGCTCAAAACAGAGAACTTCGTTGTCTCAACCTCTGAAGCCTTGAAGCTACAGTGGGAGTATGAGCAGGGTTTCCTCGGGTATGAGGCAGGAGCAGGCTTTCTCTTTGGTGTGTAGGCAGCAGGTCTCCCCCCAACCCTGCCCTCTCTGCTTGTTTGCTCGAACTGCTATCATAAGGATGCCATCACAATGGTCAGGGCCCGCCATAATGACCTCGTTTTAATTTGAACACATCTATAAAGAACCCAACTCCAAATAGCGTCACAGTCTCAAGAACTAAGGACTAGGACCCTAATAAATAAAATTTTATAATTCAATCCACATTAACCCACTTTAAACTTTATTTTATTTGTGTAGACAAGTGTCTGTGTGTATGTCTGAGTGCACACATGAGCGCATGTGTATGCAAGTGCTAACCAAGACCAGAAGAGGGTGTTAGATCCTGTGGAGTTAAAGGTGTTCGTGGGTCGTGGATGTGGGTGCTGGGCTCCAAACTCTTGGTCCTCATTGCTGAGCACTGAGCACTCCCAGCAGATGAGCCATCCCTCCAGCCCCTCATTGTTGAGCATTGAGCACTCCCAGCAGATGAGCCATCCCTCCAGCCCCTCACTGTTGAGCACTGAGCACTTCCAGCAGATGAGCCATCCCTCCAGCCCCTCATGTGTTAATTATGTCACAGCAGATGTCATCAAGAAAAGGTTCTCCTCTTATGCCGAGAATGGGATGCAGAAGAGACCAAGAGATTCTCTCACGTTCTCACCACAAACAGGACAGAGGCGCGTAGCCACGCAGCCTAAAATCAGGTAAGAAAATGATTCAATGAATCCCACGTGCCAACCAAGCTCTTTAAAACGTTCCCCTCCATCTAAGGTGATGCTGCCATCTCCTTCCAAGAGAGGTACACCTCTGCCCCTCACCCTCCGCCCCTTCTCACCCACTTTAGCACCTCAACAGAACGGCACACACACACACACACACACACACACACACACACACACAGAGAGAGAGAGAGAGAGAGAGAGAGAGAGAGAGAGAGACAGAGAGACAGAGAGACAGAGAGACAGAGAGACAGAGAGACAGAGAGACAGAGAGAGTTTAGTAAATGGAAAGACCCAAATAGTAAACCTTTCATTTTTCAAAGACATTTATCTCTTCCTTTCACCCCCAACCCAGGGTACTGGCAACCACAATGACCCAAGAAGATAAAACTAAGATTCATGGGCCCTCTTTACCTGACTCTGCCCTCAAAGCTGTCCTGAGAAGCCAAGAGTACCGGCAATCCAAGTGTGAGAGCACCAGCTGCTTCAAGGAAGAGTATTCAGGAGTCCAGGAGGGAGAGTCTACGAAACCACTTAAGGGCACGGACCCGAACAGGGATGTCTCTGTCCCGTGTCACGGCCAAGAGGTTTCCACCAACAGTACAGAAGACAGCCCTGCGTCCAGCCCAGATGGTGCGAGGGAGTCAGAACCTGCAGATGAGACTAGATCAAAAAATGCCGATCTAAAGCCACACGGGGATACTGGGGACCAAAATGTCCCATGCTCTGTGGAATGTACAGGAAGCTTCAACGGCAAGTGCACAAAGCCAACCTTCCTAGAGCTATTTGCAAAGGCCAAAGAGGCCCACTATCTCCGCCACAGGGTGCCACCCGAGTCTGAGAGGATGCTTAGCATTGGGGAGATATTTGGACGGAGAGACGCCTCACTACCCAGAGCAGGGAAAAAAATGTGAAAATGGTACCAAGTTCCTTCCTTCTTGGCTGTGGAATGTAGCCTGACACTAAGATACCATAATCACTAAGGAAATGTGACCCTCAAATAGCTGCAATAAGCAAAGCACAGAAATAAGTGGAAATCCAAGACAATTTTCTTCTTCATCGTTAGGGCCTTTTATATGATCTTTCTCAGAATAAACTTGCTCACAATAAAGGCTACTATGAAAGGAGGGAGGAATATTTGAAAATATTTTAAATTGAGAACCTGGACTTGTTTGATGGAGAGGAAGTCTTGTTTATTCAAAGTCTGTCTGTAGAGGAGCTGCTATAGCGCCACCTGCTGGCCAATCAGCACAGCTAGTCACCTTGTTTTCCTTTCTTTTGGGTTCTCATGGGAACCCCACTGAAATTATGTACAGTGCTGTGGTCTCCAAATAAAACCTGCTCTTGCCACAGTTCCGCACTCTTTTTGGAAGCTCCTCTCTCTATCTTCTTCCCTTTTTTTCTCTTTCCTTCTCTCCAACCTCTGCTTCCTTCCTCTCCCCTTCCCTTCCTTTCCCTCCTTTCCTTACTTCCTTTCTTCCTTTTCAAGTAGTTCCAGCTGGATCCCCCCGCCCCGCTCTAACCTTAATACCAAACATTTTTGGATTCTAATGAAAGAAACTAATCTGTGTCCTTTCCTCTCCTCCCAAATCAAAATATCTTAAAACGTCTAGCACACTATCAAAGCTATATCACATTCAGTCAATAACCAACCATCTCACAGTGGAAGAATAATTGCCATTTAAAAATTACTGTTTTAAGCTAGGGTGGTGTCACATGTTATCACCCCGGTATCTCAGTATTTGGGAAGGTGAGGCAGGAGGATTTACAGAGCCAGAGTGAGCTACATACCGAGACTCTGTCTAGAAAAGCTCTCTTAGTAAAACAAAGACCGCTGTTTTAAGTAAGCGGGTCTGCATAGCATGCATCCCACTGTAAATTAATTGAGTTATCTTTGTTTCTCACCCAGATGGTCCAGATTTCACACTTCAAACAAATGATGTCATATGTCATTAGGGAACAACAGCTTACTGTTAGTACTTTAATCCTTCTGCTCACCGAATACACACCAAATAAAACTGCCCCTTTTGTCATATACTGTTTATATTAACTTCATTAGAAAAACTAGCTTGTAGTTAGAAATCCAAAGTCAGATAGCAGCTGTTAAATGCATTTTTCAACCTTATAGCAAATTGGGAAACCAAAAGAATAAATTCAGGACCTATATAGTTATTTTGGACTTATTTATTTACTTTGAATTTTTTTTTTGAGACAGGGGCTAAACTATGCTAAGATTGGCCCTGAACTCCCACGTTCAATGATCCTTCTGCCTCAACCTCCTAGTGAGCTGGATCGCAAACTCTTACCCCCAGAACCTGTTTACAATTAGGAGAATATATTTGTTGTATTCTAGCTTACGGCTATCTTGAAAAAACAAAACTATTTATATCAAAAATGATAAAGGACCCAATCTTCTAATGCTAAAGCTCCTAGGGTTTAAATTAATTTGAATTTAATGACAAAGTATGAACTAATTGCAGTTAGTTTAATAACACAATTTAATTCCCATTTGAGATGCCTGGTGTTTAAATTTATAACTCATAATAGCTCCCAGTTTCCAGCACCTCCTGCCATCCCGAACTTTCCACACAGCATACTAATTCCAATTGCTCCTCAGAATTCTGGAAAGAGTTGTCTTTTAGTTCCCATTTTACAGACGATCCGAGCAAAGCAGAATGTGTTCTTGGTCTGTACACTGTCCTCTGTCACACCCCAGCTACCTTGCTGCCACTAAGTTGAAGACAAGCTTCACTCAATCTTGCAAAATTCAGCTGTTTTAGCCCAGCCTTTGGTCTTTAATGGCAAGGCAATAATTTATAGTTGAAATAACACACAAAACCTCCTTTCGGGGTGTTCTCTAATGCAGAAGGCAGGTCAGGGACAAAACTGGATGATTCACAAGTTATTTACACTGGTCATAAAGGTGGGGGCTCCCAGTACAGAGAACCCCCTTTACAAAGTGCCCAAGTATTGGAGAGAGATGATCTGTCTTCACACCGTGATGAGAAAAGCTTTCCCAGAATGCCTTCTAGATAGAGAGATCTAATAAATGTAGAGGGCACCTATTACCGTATTATCTGGATGCCTTCTGTGTGGAGGCATCTATCACCATATTGCTCAGGCAGAGGCATCTGGACACTCACAGAGGTGATGACTGGACCTTTCTCCTCAACCCATGCTAAGCTGTAACACAGGTGCTCTATCAGTTCTGCAAGGAAGACTTGACCAAGAATCATAAAAGGTGGCACCTGAAGAGACCATGGCTCAGTGGGTAAGGAGTTCGCTGTGCGAACTTGAACACCTGAGATCCCCGCTATCCTCACAAAAGCCAGGTGTGACCAAACACACCTGAGATCCCAGCAAGGGTGGGGGTAGGGCAGAGACAGCTAGATCCCAGGGTCTCACTGGTCATTTGGTCTGCCAGAAATGACGAGGTTCAGTGGGAGACCCTGTCTCAAAAAGTAAAGTGGAGAAGCGATCGAGGAAGGCACTGGACATCCACTTCTGGCTTCCACCACCTCCTGCCTGAGTAAACATGTCTGCACACAGGTGACACCTAGTGAATGAACAGATGCAAAAACAAAGTGTTTAAAGCAAAAATGCAAGGACGTATCAGGCCAATAGTTGTAGATGGAAGTTTCTGTCCCACTCAGTACCACAAATGTTCAGTCCCAAAGAAACACATAGAGGCTTTCATTAATTATAAACTGTTTGGCCTATTAGCTCAGATTTATTATTAACTATCTCTTACAACTTACACTAACCCATAATTCTCTTCTATGATTAGCCATGTGGCTGGGTACCTTTCCTCAGTGCAGCATTTTCATCTAGCTTCCTCTGTGTCTGGATGGTGACTTCAGACCACGACCTTACTCTTCCCAGAATTCGCCTAGTCTGGTCACCCTACCTATACTTCCTGCCTGGCTACTGGCCAGTTGGCATTTTATTAAACCGATAAGAGTGACAAATCTTTACAGGACACAAGGGCATTATCCCATAGCACTTCCCTTTTTTTCTTTTCAAAACAAGACCCTGAATCTAATTCTCGTTGCTTAGCTTTTTCCTCACCATTATCCACAACAACTTGTAACCAACAAAGGTAAGTGAAATTGACAACAGCTTCCCTAGGAGAAAAGCAACCATTCCGTTTCCACCTCACTGAGCTGAGACTATTCTGTTTTGAGGCGGAGGGGCAGATGCTAAGTCCCATTTACTATCACGACTACAAGAATTATTAATAGTTCAAGGTTGAGGCCAATCTGCCTATGTGAGACCCTGTCCCAAGAAATTTCCTTATCCAAAATCAAAAAAAAAACATTAATTTATCACACAGTTCTCCTCTCACTTGTGGGTTAGAGTATGGATCACTTGAGAACTGGACATAATATGAAACACACCCTAAGCTCCCCACATTTCCACCACCACTATGAACAGGATGCTGCTAAGTGTTCTCATAACAGCCCTCAGTCAATTAGAGTATAAATTAACTTTAATATAACTAGTCATGTTATTTTTGAATGTCTTGAGTTCAATTCTGTAAAAATTGTTCCATGGAATTGAACTACAGGGAAATTTAATAAGACTCTAAATAATACATATCCACTTGACCCAACCTGACATGATCACCATCATTGCCATGGTCATGGAAGGGAGAAATTCTCTATTCACAATTTAATCTGAGATGAAGAGAAAATGTGCGGAAGCTATGCATAGGGAATAGTTCACCATACAATCAGCAGTGGGAAGCTGGATGTATATTTGTGCTGGGGATTCTTTGCCTATGTTGACGTGGGAGGAGGCAAATGATGCTAAGTTGGCCAAACTGACACACTTCACAGCTGGTGGGAGGGGGACAGGCAACAAGCAAGTGCATTCCCGCTAATCTTGAGCTATTTCCTTCTTGGCTTCCCCTTGAACTCCAGAAAACAAGAAGCTATGATGAGAATGCCCATTGTGTCTGGCAATGGTCCTGTTATTTTTAAATTTAGTTCTACGGGGGACTGGTGATGGATCAGCGGTTAAGAACCCATGTATGAGGGAGAGATGACAAGGTCTCTCTCCTCTCCCTGATGATAAGAAAGTTTTCACCTTCACCCCACCACCCGATTGCTCAGAAAGGCTACTGTATGTGTTCAGAATCTCTGAGTAGTAAGCCTCAGAAGCGGGATGCAACCCGGAGCCCTGCCCTCTGCACAACCCTGCCACATTCATCTACCCCAGCAGGCTCAGAAAGCTGTACCCAACCAGCCCAGTGGCCTCCTGAAGTTGTGGAGGCGGAGAAGGGAGCCAGACACTGACAGACCATGAAATCTGTGGTGTTGAGCAGGTTCATTGGAGAAAGGGAGAAGGTTCAGATTTAGAGAGACAGGAAGGGATTTAAAGAATATATGTAGGGGCTAGAGAGCTGGCCCAGCAGTTAAGAGCTCTGGCTACCAGAGCACCAGGTCTCTATTCCAAGCAGCCACGTGGCAGCTAAATTGACTGTAATTCCTGCTCCAGGGGATCCAACTCCCCCTTCTGGCCTGTGGGGCACTGCACACACACGGGCCACAGACATACACACAGGCAAAGCACCCACACACATAAAACAAAAATTAAAAAGGAAACAAATAAATGAAGTTTTACATAGACATGGTATTTTCCTTTTGCTCCATTTCCTTTGAGAATACGCCCATGTCGTGCACATATATGTGTGCATACACACGCACACCCCCATCTTTGGGAATAAAAACAAAGGGAAGCACCCCACAGTACCCAATGGCTCACTAGAGGTGTTCACACCAGCAAAGTGGCAGCTTTCCACAGGCCAGCGGGAGGTGATCGCTTCAGTACCTGTGGGTGAATAGTGGTCCTAACACAGTTTGGATTTGGCTGCTCTTGCTAGTCTCAAACTTGAAGTCTTACTGTGCAGCCTCCTGGGTGCTGGGGTTATTATCTGGTCACCATTACATTTGGCAACCAGACTTCATTTAAGCTCCAGAAAATTTTGGTACAAATTGTGCCAGTCTGAAATAATAAATTCAGTGTAAGTCGGGTCCTAAATGTGAAGGAAAATGAGGCAGGTAAGACTTGGATTAGAAAGAACGGTGATTGGAGAAGATATATAGGAGGAGAACTGGCCAGAGCACAGCCTGGCTGCTTCTCCAGGGAGCTCCGAGGACATGGGACAGGTTACATCACTGTTGACACCATCCGCGGAAAACAGAGCCTCTAGTTAGCAGAGAACCGCAGGTCTCAGCTGGACGTCCCCAATAGCTTGTCTCTGTACAGAAGCACTACATATTGGCGCCCTGTTAAACAGTGGGAAAAAACCCACTGTACTGAAAGTT